CCCGCCCCACCTCTGGCTGCTGCCGCCGGGTTCGGGTCTCTGGCGGCGGGTCCCCGGCCCGGTGAGGCTCCCGGGACCGGGCTCTCCGGGGGTGTGGGGGGGTGACCCTGCGGAGCCCTCGGCAGCGGGGCTGCTCCTGCGGAACTTTTGCAAGTGAAGGCAGAAGGCTTTCTGCTCGGAGGAGTTACTGCAACCTTCTGGTTCCTCTTTAAACGGCGTAGAAAAATGCGGTTGTAAAGCGGGGTGACAGTATTCCTCGAGTCGCATCGAATCTGCTCTGGCTGCTGTTGAAATTTCGTCTCCAGCTTGCACGTTCTTTTAAGGGCTCAGATGGCTTCCTCTCGCCGCTTCACATTCTGGCGAGCGAGTCGGAGATCAAACGTATTTGCACACCCAACACCCCCCACCTCCTTTCCATCATGCGACCTGATGGAAGCCCAGCTTGGAGCTCGCTTAGCGATTTTGGCTGAGGCTGCAATTCAGCACGACCCATCTGACTGCGTTTCTAACAGATCTTCATAGCCGAGCGCGGGGGATTAAGCTTGGAGAAGACCGTGTTTGCTGTGGCAAGTCCAACCTTGGCACGCTCTGTCAGAGAGCTCTGTGCCTGTGGCTATCGGTGTGGCCATCGTGTTGTTAAAGTTTGGGACACGCAGTAGGTGGTGAGGGGTGTTCAAGAAGTGAATTTGGTTGCTTTGGTCGGTGGTTGGTCCTGATACAGCTGCAACAACAGTTCAACAGCTTCCCTAAAATGGAGCCATCTCTGTGTTCATGCTGGCCCTCAGCTCCTTGAGGTTGCCTCTCGCTGCCCAGGCTGAGAGTTTCCCTGGGGATTGCCCCCATGGCATGGGGATGAGCCGAATGAGGTCTCAGATAAGCCCAAACGCGCCGGGTAGCCAAAACCTCTGCTAACGATCTAGCTGGTTTTGAACCAGTGGTAGAGAGAAATTGCTTCGTATTCAGTAAAAACCTGTTTTATTAAACTTTTTCTTTCCCTTACCCCTCTCCTGAGGTTCCTGAGCTCTGCCAGAGGCAGTGGCCAAACGTGAGTCCTGGGCATGGGGCCAGATGCTGATCGCTGAGCCCTTGGCTTAAGCCTGGCCCTGAGTGCTGCTGTGTGCCCCGGGTGAGGCTTCAGCAGCGCTGGATGAGGAGAAGCTGCTTTTAAAGGTCACCCTGCTTTAGAACAGAGGTCTGGGAAGTTTTAAAAAAAAAATCAATACTGCTATTTTGTACTAAAAATGACCTTTTTTTTTTTTTTTTTTCCCCTCCTTCCCTTGGCTTTGCACAAATACACCCACTGGCTCCCCTAACCCTGTTGTGCCAGAGCTTGGTGTGTGGCTGTGCGTGGTGCCCCCGCGGGAGGCCCGGTGTGGGGCTCTGCACCCACCATTTGGGTGATGAAGCACCGTGGCCGGATCCTGACCACCCTGCCCCAAACTGTGGCCGGGGGCTGCTGCCGCCTCTCGGGAGGCTGAGCTGCAGAGTGGTGGTGGCATTTGTTGCTTTGGAAGGCTCCTGCCCTGGTTTTTGTGTGACCCAGGGCAGTGGCTGCCTTAAAACCATTTAAATTCGGTCACGGGCTAATGGCTTGCAGAGAGGGAACCCTGCCACGCCAGCGTGAAGCTGTGCAAATCGGTGCGGGTGCAGAAGCTGCTAACGCAGCGCGCCTGCCTGGGCTGGGGTTTGT